TTAGAAACACATCCCACTGTGCTAGGATGGGAAACCAAAAAAAAAATAATGAAAAACAAAAGACTCCCCATTGTGTTGCAATGCAAAGGAATATCTTGTTCTTTTTGAGATTCATATGGGAAGCTTAAAATGAATTAGTTTGCTTTATGGATGTTAACTCCGAAGTCAAACAACCCTGTGTATAACAAATCTGTAGCATGGGGGATCCTGCCACAAAACCGCAGTTCAAAGAGAAGAAGATATACATCTCTTCTTTCTCCATTTCCTTTCCTCACCCCCCCCATCTCCCAGCAAAGGGAGTTATTCTGCAGAGCGCTTTTCATTAAGCGATACTCATTTGTTTAAGGGATGGATCTCAGAGAAGCAGGAGTAAACACTCCCCATGAAGCACCAACATAAATATTTAAGGATGAAAGCTTGTAATGACCAAAACACATTTTGTACTCAAAAGCCACTTAGGTTTAACCAAGCTGGTAGTGCCCAGAGACTGACTGAGAGCTGTTTTTAGGAGAAGAAATGTTTTGTTCTGTTATCTAGACCCTCCTAGGAAGACCCCACTGAAAGGACATTGTTACTCAATGCTGTCTTAAGTGGATATTTGTGGAATGGCCCTCTGTGGAAGCTGAGAGAGAGACAGGGCCCTGGGACAGGGCATAGCAGAACAGCATTGTGAAAGCCATGTTACTTTTCACTTAAAATGTTTAGATATGATTTTTTTCTTCCTGTCAAGATAGGTAGCCATTTCCACCAATTTTAATTCCTGGTTTCAGCCTGAAATCTCATACTGAAAATTTAAAAATTTTGATTTTTTTTCTTCTGAAATCCCAACATTTTTCTTTTCTCTGGGGCAAAGTAAAAATTAGGAATATGGAGGTTTAAAAAAAAAACAGTGTTGCCTACTGACAGTACAAAGCCCCTTGCCTGTGACCCCCCCTCCATCCCACTTCTGCTGAAATCAAACTGCCACATGGTTACACATCATTGCCTGAAGGCTTCTAGGGGCAGTGGTTCCCAAGACAATAGATTTACAGTTGCCTCAAACCATATAATCTGAAAGGGGTCATTGCTGCATGTCATAGCCTACACACTCACCACAAATTGGCTCTGGCAAATCAAGAATGACCAACCTTTTTCTGAGTCATTTATTTTAATATATCTGTTGTTGCTTGTTCCACTCTGCTGTATTTCAGGTCCATCCTGATGGCCTAGGTACTTAGAGATAATGCTTCCCTCCTCTCTTCTGATTTCAGGTGTTCCTAGATGTTAACATAGGCAACAGACTTGTTCCTCTTTCAACTATATTCTGCTGGGTGACAGAAGAATAGAAGTTTCCCTCGACATCAGGAGATCACGCTGCCACCACCCTTCCACAGTGGTACTGCTTTCTGGTTCAGGACTGGATGCCAGCCTTGCAGTCCATGGACAGAGCCTTTTACTGAGTTGCTCTCCAGACTACCAACGCATGCCCGTGCTACAGACTCCAGCAGCACTGTGGCCCCTGCAGCCCTAGCCTAGGGTGCCCCGGGCACTAGGCAGGCCTTGAGCATCTCCACCCAAGGACAGACTGTCACTCATCAGTATCAAAAGCTGACCCTGTCAAATTCCACTGTGATACAAACTGGTCTGAAGAGGAGAATCCGGCCCTCTCCTCTTTGGGGCTGAGAACTCTGTTAAGGAAACAGTTGCTGGAAACCCCATTTTACCATTGTATCTCACACTGACTGTTAGAAAATGGCCACACATGAAACCCAGACCTCTGCAGTGCCAAACTAGAGGCTCTCAGGGCCACACAAAAGAAGCAGGAGCACAGCCCTGGCTCTTCTGGTGCCCAGAGGAAGGCTCTGCCTCTGTTACAAGCTAGCCCTACAGCCTCACAGATATCACTGCCCTATCCTCCTGTTTTTGTCTTCCCAGCCGCAGCACCAAGCCCCATCAGCTACCTCCTGCTGCTCCAAAGCAGTATGTGACCCATAGCTCCAAAGCTGGCTGCCTGCACTGGCAACCTGCTGATCCTGTGCTCCAGCCACTGCTGAGACAAATTTACTCCACTATAGTCAAACCTGTGAGCCTTGTGGCACACACTAATAACCTCTGCCTTGCTCAGCTGGTCTTGCTTCATTCCCCACCAAGAACCTTCACTCCCTGGGCTGCAGAGTCACTGTGATGCTGCCCCAATCACTCCCGAAGCATCTCCTTTACGAATCCCTTTCTCTAGCCTCTCTGGGGGCTCTTCTGCACCCACCGCACACCTTCACCACATATGTAACTTATTCCTGTGCAACAACCCCATCCTTGTTCCCTTAGCTACCACATTTTTCTTTGACTTCTCTCTACCGTCCCTTCCCTGATCTTCCTCTTTGATATATGTTTCCCATGACCTTTCTCGTATTTCCTTCTGCATAATCTGTGGCAACCTCAAACACCAGACACTTTATCTCTCCTTCTTCATCTGCACCTCCTCCTTTTTTCTGGCACGATCAGCTATGCCACCCTTCCCTCTGTCCCACAAGTGCCAAAATCTGGCGTAACCATCAGCTCCCTCTTCTCTCTCCTCCTACATGAACTTTATAGTTAATTCCTGCAGGTTCCAGCTCAGCAGCATTCCAGGGGTGGCAAAAGACTGTGGGCTGGTTGATGCATTGATCTGGCCCCAGGACTGAGGCTGGTTCTGTAGATCTGTACACACTCTATAAACAAAGGTTTGTGCCAACTGCTGAGACCAGAAAGCAGGGTTTCATTCAGCCATGGGCCATTTTTAAAAATAAAGGATGGTGAGAAATTGTGGCCTTTTTCCTATTTTGGAATGTGAAAAATTGAAATGAAGTCACCCTGGTTATTTATGCTGGTAGCGTTTTCAGCTGACAATTCTCGGGAGCTTTTGGGAACAAGGAGCTACAACTTCATTTGACTGAGGGGTATGGTGATTTATGAGTTACAGATGAGTGCACACATGCATATACATACGCAAACTCTTGCACATGTTAAAATTGGCAAAACTCAGCCAATTCACTAAGACTGTGGGAACTGCATAGTTACGCAACACTTCTTACCTGCAAAAACCTTTCTTACAGGACCTCTTAGTCTCAGGAGCTGTCAGAAGTAATGGCATGTGGACATCTTTACTATCCTGGAAAAATCCACATCATCAGCCTCTGTGCTACAAAGCAGACTCTGTCACTGCTGATCAGGTCCACTATGGACAGAGTGAGTCAACTCTGAGCAATAAAGTATTAGAAAACCACCACTGATCCACTGGGACTTCTGTAGGAAACCATTTCTGCTTCATTCCCACCAATCTAGCTTTATTCATCCCTAATACTATGTAGAGAAACTACAACCTCAGAAAAAGTACTAACATAACATGAAACTGACCTTCACCCCTAATCTGAATGCCCTGCATGAACCCTACTCCCTCAAGGCTTCCACTGCTGGGGCAGGGTGACCTGCTCAGACCAAGGTATACACCATCTACTTTTAATGCCCTGCCCTTAACATAGTGACTGCGACACTCTTATGGCATGTACACAGTCAAAACACAGACCCCTGTCACAGAAAATAATAAAACCCAGCGAGTAAAATTATGGGTAGGGCAATATTTTAATTTCTGTAAATGATCTTGGCCAGAAATAAGCTTTTCTGTTTTTCTTCTATAGATTGAAAAATGGTTTCTGTCCCTCTAAGTCTCTAAACTGTGTGCCTCGCAGACATATTTAGCCCTTATGGCATGAAATAAACCTACAACAGCAAACAATACGGCGTTGCTGTAGGCTTGAGCATAAATAAGCCTTCCTCCTGCAAACTGGAGCAATCCCAAATGTTTTTTTTACAGATTTGAGCATGTAATTGTGGAATTATTCTGCAGGAAAACTGCCATGGACGTGAAACAATTTCAGATCAAGGGCTCCATTTCAAGTAAATACTCAAAGTGACCCCTCCTCCTTCCCATTTCTTCTCCTACCCTTCTCTGGATCCCATCTTCATCTATCTGGTAAGTACCATATCTTTCCATCCATCTGTATGCCCCTATACAAACAGAAGATAAGAAGCAGATATTAGGCGGAGCAGTGCAGCTTAGAAGGGTAACGTCCCACCTGTCAGCAGCTAGGTATGGCTGTGAGGAGGCTCGGTGTACCGTGGTTCACAGTCAGTGGTAGTACTGCTCTGGGGAAGCTTGCATGACCTGGATCCTGACTCATACCTATAGGACACTCCTGTGGAACAGCTTGTAGCCCTGAGGTCCCAAATGATGTTAGGAGGGCGCTGCTGCAAAGCGGAGCCTGGCACAGAGCACAGGCCTGGACCTCTCCCTCAAGTCGGTCACAGGCTTTAAGTCCAAAACTCTTTATGGAACAGTCAACATTTCTTCTTTTGTCTCCCCAGAGCGAGCTGTGTGTTTTCTCTAAAACCAATCTCTCATTTGAGCTACTTGAGATAAAACATTCAGAAGCCCCTATTGTAAATGCCACACAAAGACACAAAGGAGAGAGCCCAGAGTAAAAAATATTTTCATACTAAAACTGTCAAGGGGAAAAGAGACTAAAAATCTTTGCAAAGCTAAGTAATTAAGTTAAAAACAGTGATGCCCCCTCCAAAATGCTTGACATAAGCTGTCTACTTAAAACTTTAATTGGAGAGGAGCAGTGCAGGCTGGGAGGTGCATGTGTATCAGATGAGACAGAGTAGGAATCTGAGTGCAGAGAAAAAGGGAAGAGGGTCCAGGAGCAGCAGGCTCCATGTATGTGAGTTGAACTCATGCCAAGGAGCACAGAAATCCCTGCTCCCCCATGGGTTGCCCAATACTCCTTCCAGAGCGTCTCTCCAAACTAGATCCCTCTCGCACTGCCTACAAAATAACAACAGCCAACATTTGACCACCCAGAGCATTGTGGAGGCAGCTAATGGAGATAAAGCAAAACCGTAGATTATACAACATAAGGGTAGATCGGGTAATAGAAGCATATCCTCCAGTGGACAAGAGAAAACAAAGAGAAAGACCTTACTGTGTACCATGGAGTATGATCTCTGAGCTATGGCCCAGCCTGAGAGGGAAAGTCCACATGGTGCGGTACTCTGTGAACATAACTAACCCAGCCTGATACGTGGGGATCCATCACCGGCCTCTCTGAACCTGCAGCATGGTGAATCCTCAACTGTGTTGTTTTTCTGCAGAAAATGGAGAGCCGACTCCCCTGTGGGCAAAGGCATTTGCCTTGCTAGAAGCGCGGTCCATGAAGCCCTGTTGCCCAGCACTCAGGAAGGGTCCTTCTGTAAGGAACAAAATGCACTGTTAGGGTCCCAGATTGCTCATCAGTTCAATACCAAGAATGCCCCTTCTTGTGTGAGCCATTTGGGACTTAATCTTCTCAGGATTTTAGCAGTTATCCCCTGGCAGTTTTCCTTGTGCATCATACAGCCCGTTTCTTACCCACATTGCTTTAATCAGAGGGTTGGCTCCACGAGACAGGAAGTGCATCATCTTCCAGACTCCTGCAGGAATTCAGTTCACATTGGTTCCCTCCTTCCCTCTGTTTGCAAACAGAGCCCGTTCCAACAGGCGCTGGAATCCAGCGCAGGCTGGTCGTTGCTCTTCCTCACTAAAATTAACCTAAGAGAAGGCACTTACTTGATGGAGAAAAATCTTGTATGGTTCAGCTCATAGAGCTGAATGAATCAGGTTTTGTCCCCTGAAAGCCTCTCACACACCTCATGGTTCAAAGGCAAGGCATGGATTGATTATTGTGGGAATAGGAAAGGGATCTGTGTTTTTGAACAAATCATCTGCTGTTTTTAGCCCAGACGCTGTGGGATAAAAGTGCACCAAATGAAATAACAGATAAAACACAGACGTGGAAATGAAGACAACTAAGAACTGAAGGACTTCCAGTGACAGAAATAATCCCAACAGAGCAATACCAGACCAGGCATCCCAGCAAAAACTGCAGTCTCAAAAAGTTCTCTGTCAGAGTGAGAACAGAAGTTGGTTCCATTTCACAAGTGTCAGAGTCAGTCACACACCAGGTAAAAAAATATAAACACCAGACACTTGGCATTGTGCAGGTACCTGACAAATAACATTAAGTTAGTTGGACTTCTTTAAGCGCAGTCTTTATATTTTCAAAACACTAAGTTCTATGCAAGTATTCAGGCTGCCATGGCAACACGATACATTTGTTTCCAAGTGTCATTTTCCATCACAATCTTTTTTTTTTTTTTCCAGAACTTTGCCTGACTTCAAAACTTTGGTTGCTGAGGCAACAGTTCATTTTGAAGGGAAGCGATTGGCTGTGCCCATCTGTGCTGAGGCAAGGACTGTTCTTTGAAGGCCAGCATGCTACAGAACAGGGGGAGGTGCTAGGGAGGATAAATAGACATCAGGAAAGATGGGTGAGAGGAAGGAACTCTGCTGAGAAGTGGCTATGGAGGGGTGACATACACCTTTGCAAGAGGCAGGTCGAATGGGCTCTGAGTGGGAGGCTCCAAACATAGCACAGGCGAGCTAATGTGCTGCATTACATCACTGGGAATATTAAATGTGATCTTAGTGAAATAACACTTTGCCTTTGATGTATCCCTTGAGGATATCATGGAGATGCATAGTCCTCAGAAGACCTCTACAAGAGAGAAATTTGTCTTTGGGCTTGTTGAACATACAAAGTAACTGTGGTAGAGAGAGCTTGAATGCGCTGCTGAAGGTCACACAGTAAATTAGTGGCTGATACAGGAACAAGCCTCTGAAGGTGCTGTGTTTCAGCTGTAAGATCATCATTTCTCTGATATTTAAATTATGCTTAAATAGAAACCCATTTACCGTCTATAGAGAAGCTGTGCAATCACTTTTTTTCTAGCTAACGCATTACAGTCCTCTCCTCTGCTATGTGCCAACGTATTTGGCTTGAAATGCACTGAATTAGGGACTCCTTTCTTTCTATACAACGCTTTCCTCAGTGGAGCCCTGATCTGCACTCTTCTTGAGATCCCACTGTAATAAACACGACCACCACGAACAATCATAACAAGAACCTAGAACAGCTCTTTAATTGGCATCACTCCCACTTTCCTCTTTACTGGAGGGGAACAGTGCTCTGATGAGGGGACACAACACCATCACTTCAATGCCTTTAGGCTCTAGCAGACTCACAAACATGGGGAGCAGCTTCAGGAGGCAGAAGTATGTAGCAACCAGCAGAAAGAGCAAATGAATTGTAAAGGAGGCTCTGAATTGGAGGAGGTAGGGCATATGACAAGGAAAAGCTGGTGGCTTTGAAGAAATGCACAGGATAAGGGCATGCACAGGCCAGGGGAATGGAAACAGAACAAGGGGTAATAGACAGGATCAGATGAGGAGAACAGGTAAAGGACGGCAGGAGGACAGATACCAGAGAGATGAGCATGGTGTACAGATGCTGCTAACACAGGGACTGAGAGTGAAACCTGAGAAATCAGTAATGAGAAGACTAACTGGTGACAAATCAGTATGAATGGCCCAAGCAGGAAAAAATAGCTTTCATTTTATTAAAGTTGCTGAGGAAACATAATCGAAGCAGGAGCAAATACAGAGCAGCCAGACAAAACTCTTCAGGGGGGATTCATTCACCATGTCACTGGCCCCTTGTGGAGCAGAGAAGCTCCCCAGATATGACTGCAATTCAACCCACATAGAGAATGAATCTTGACATGAAAGAAAGGAGTTAAAAAAAAAAGCTAATAACAGAAGAGGGGAGCTCTACTGAGGTAAATAGCCATTTCACACATTTCTCTGCCTCTTGAAGAGCAGGGAAGAGTTCAGAAGAATTTAAAAATACTGCAGATGAATTTGGCATCTATAGGATGAAGAAAATCCCCATGAGCAGAGCCTAGGATTCAAGAAGTTGGAATATATCTGTCCTTCTTTGACGTTAACTCCTAGTGCAACCTGGACTAGGACACGCTCTTTCTGTGCCCCAATTCCCTCCTCTGTACGGGGGATGACCAGACTTCTCTACCTCCAAAGGATTTGCGTGGAGAGATGTGTGACTGATTACAAGGTACCAAGTCACTGCTGAGACTAGAAACAGTTTAGGACTGAGAAGAGAAATTGCCTTCCAGTACAGGCAGGCTTTAAAAAATAATCTATTCTCTCTGATCTGCAATGGTGTCCCATCCTGCCTCTCAGCAAGTCCTGCTAGCCCAGTACTTCCCTTGCCTTCTCTAGTGCCCACTGGTCCTGCTCCATCGCATCTGACATGCAGTATCTGAGCGGTCTTCAACTGCACCAAGAGCCCTTTGCTCTACTGTCACCATTGGATGAGGGAGCCCACAAAAGCTGCCAGAAATATCAGAAAAGCTGGCAAGGAGACATTAATTAGAGCAATGCCAAGCACAGCAAGATCAGACGGGTATGAAAGACAGATAGAGAAAATAATTCTCTCATTCACTGCCTCAGACTAGCCTCCTCCACTGATAGGCTTTTGAAGCTGAATGGAAATGTTACGGATCAAGGGTGCAGCCAGCTGTAAAGGCAGGTGAGCAGACCTCACCCACTAGTAATTTGGGTCATACAGATTTCACTTACCTCTTGCTGTACATTGTGGAACCCAGAACAGAACTTTTTACTTGCTTTCTCATTTTTTGTGTGGCTTACACATTTAATTATCACTTCAGTATCGATTCTCCAAAGCCCTAGGATCTTACACTGTCCTGTGAGCCAGTATCT